TTAAATATCATTTTCAGAATCCTCACAAAATTTTAAATAGATATAACACATAATCACTGGGGTACGGAAAAATATTCTACTTAAATTTCTTCGTTAAACAATTATTTTTAATACTGACGAAAATTTAAATAACATTCAGCGATTTATTTCTCGGTTACCGAGATCCGCTGAGTTTAACAAATATCACTAAAAACTTCCTTATTTAAAGGGCTTTCCAATGGTGTATAATAGTTTTTACCAAGCTTAAAATTTCCTAATGTAATTAAATCATTGTTGTGAAAAAACATGGTAGGGCAAAGAAAAGCTATTGTGAAGAATAATACATTTAACTGCAGGCAACGAATAATTTGTATTTTTTCTCGCATGCAACGCTTTTTTTATAACTATTAAGCTAAGAAAATTTCGCTGGGTTACGGAAAAATATTCTACTTAAATTTCTTCGTTAAACAATTATTTTTAATATCGACGAAAATTTAAATAACATTCAGCAATTTATTTCTCGGGTACCGAGTTCCGCTGAGTTAAACAAATATTACTAAAAACTTCCTCATTTAAAGGGCTTTACAATTATGTATAACTACAATTATCTACTGTCAAATCTATGGTGAATTTTACGTAGGCCTACTATTGTGAAAAATCACTGTTAAACCAAAACAGATATTGTAAAAAATAATGAGTTTTTCTTACTATTTTATGAGCTTACCACTGATGATATGGGTTTGTGTAATTTATGATTGACCAGACTACACTTTTATCAAACTAAAGACTTTTTGTTTAGACTTTGGAAAATTTGTTATTAAAAAAAACACAATACATTAGTAAAAAAATACAATACAAATCAAATCTATGACATACTTCGTCCGAAGCTCAACATTAAGGTGAAATCACAGTTTGGGTGTAAAGTGCCCTCCGTTTTCCCGCAAGCGGGCTTTCCCAGCACCCTCAAAGATTCTCTACCGTAACTCAACTTCAGAGTTTACAACAGTCGAGTAAACTAGACTTTACATGTAACCCCAAACAAAAAATCTAACGGGCTCAAGTCTGGAGATCGAGGAGGCCATGTCACACTTCCTCCACGTCCAATCCATGTCGGGTAGTTTTGGTACAGCCACAAGCGAACTTCCGCGAGTTAATTGAAATCTTATCTGAAATATGAAAAATATACGATTATCGTAACTTTATCACAAACCCATTTTGCTACTATATGTTTCTTTTCTTAGCTTAATAGTTATTAAAAAAGCGTTGCATGCGAGAAAAAATACAAATTATTCGTTGCCTGCAGTTAAATGTATTATTCTTCATGATAGCTTTTCTTTGCCCTACCATGTTTTTTCACAACAATGATTTAATTACATTAGGAAATTTTAAACTTGGTAAAAACTATTATACACCATTGGAAAGCCCTTTAAATAAGGAAGTTTTTAGTGATATTTGTTAAACTCAGCGGATCTCGGTAACCGAGAAATAAATCGCTGAATGTTATTTAAATTTTCGTCGGTATTAAAAATAATTGTTTAACTTAGAAATTTAAGTAGAATATTTTTCCGTACCCTAGCGATTATGTGTTATATCTATTTAAAAGTTTGTGAGGATTCTGAAAATGACATTTAAACTAACAATTATTGCATTTTTAACAGAGTAATACAACCTTTTTCATAACAACTACAATAATTTTTGAAAAATCTTATTTTATTTGTTATTCCCTAACGGTTGAGGTTGGGAACCTCAAATGTGCGTAATTATATCGCCATTACCATGTAGTTTGATACAAAATTTTAAAGCTCAAATACCACTGACTCACTCATCACGAAATCTCAGAAACCATAATACCTACGAACCTGAAACATGGCAGGCATCTTCCTTTTGGGTGGTAGACGCTCGCTCACTAAGAAAGGATTTTACCCTCCGACCTCTGGGCTCCACCCCAGTGGCTCTGGAGTTTCCCATGTTAACCTTATGAGAAATGGAATTAATGAATCTTAACAGCTGTTTCAATTAAACAAGTTGGTTCTGTTCTATGATGTTCAATAGGATTAAAGTTACAAGGATTACCAACAGGGTGCAGCACTATTATTTCTTTTACATTTATGACAACAGCTAATTTGCAACCAAAAGGTGAGTGAGCATAGCGAAAGAAACTTAAACTTGGAGGCGAGTGAGCGTAGCGAACGGGCTAACCTGAAGGCAAGTGAGCGCAGCGAACGAGCTCCAACCTAAAGGTGAGTGAGCGTAGCGAACGAACTTCAACCAGGACGTGATTGAGCCATGCGAACGAGATCATCTTGAAAATTAAGAAGTTAAACGGGGCAAAGCTAGGGGGGGGGGGGGTTACAGCTAGTACTGAATATAAAATACCCCTGCTGCAGCAAACCTGCAGACTAAGATAAATGCCATTTGCCCGATTGGATTTTTTCTAAAATATCTCCTTGAAAATGTTTAGTGAAAAGAACCTCATTTAAATAGGAGAAATACCTGAAATAAAAGTCTAGAGATTTCCACTAAATATGATTGTTTTAATTTAACATACTTTTAGAATTTAATAACAATTAATTGTTTAGTGCATACAAAATATGAACCAATCAATCTCTTGCTCAGGTCCAGAGGTGGTGGAGAGTACAGAATGGAATAAATAGGTAACACTCTTAATGCAAAAACAATAAAAAATGTCATAATAAAAACTGTTTGAAAGTGGCAGAGTGAATAATTAAAATATTATTAGAGAATGCAACATTCCTCGATAAATGGATTTGATGAGGTAGCCCAGACCTTACACCCTGTGATTTCTTTTTGTGGGGATAAGCAAAAGAAGAAGGTTACAGACAGAAGGAATCCAAAAAGACTCTACATGAATAGGAAGTTACCATTTTAGATGTTCTTGGCAATGTTCCACAAGACTTTATTCAAAAATCTGTTCAAAATCTATCTGTTGGATTAAGAAATTGTGTCGACAATGCAGGCTTTTCAACCACCCTGTAGAAAACTCTGTACATTACATATTTTTGGTTGAGTTTTCGACCACTGGACAACCTCTAGTATGCTTTAATAGCTTATTCCCTATATGGGAAATTCGCTAATAAAATGAAGGCTATGTCTGGGCACAGAGAAGAATATGGTAATGTTTACTCTATAGTCTGTGGTCTGGGTGTTCTTTATAATGTTCTGGCTACGTTCTGGGCCTTTTTCAAATAAAATGTTAAATTTACAATGTTCTACACCCCATGAAAAACTAAAATAAGGCATGACTGGGTAGCTGAGTGGTTAAGGTTCTCGCCTAACAAACAAAAGGTCACAGGTTTGATCCTGAGAAAAGTAAGTACCGTTTTGATGGTTCGAAATAACTGGACCCAGCTGCTCCTGATCATTGGACTTTAAATAAATAATGAACCCTCTGACAGATGAAACACCTGTAGTCAGTAACAAAGCTAAACAGATCATCTCAGACCATTCTACACTCATCCTTCATTCATATTTGGGTTAAAATAAATATCTAGGTGGCGTACCCATCTTAATTAATTGACAATTGAAAAAAAACCATCATTGTGTTATGGAGGCATGTAAATAAGTTATTTTTAAAACTAACATGTTATAATCTTTAGCTACATGAAGATGTTTCTGCACAACTATTCTCAGGGATGTTGGAAATAGAAGGATGGGATTTAACATATCCCTCGAAAATGGCGAACTGCCACAACTTCTGTAAGCTATCATTGACCAAAGATAATTTAATAGAAAATATTTTCCAAGTATAGTAGAAAACCACAAAATAGATCAGTGGCTTAATGTACTTTCTATTAGCAGCATCTAACAACGATGTTATATGATCAATAACAACATGCTAGACAGAATAGCTTACATGGTGTAAAACAGGGCATAAAATAACATGTTAACTGGGCGACACAAGTGTCACCCAGTCCTGAGATTTTGTCGCCCAGTGACTATGGGTGTTGCCGGCATGTTTTTTGAATGATCCACATTTTAAATTTATCGGAATTTAAAAAGTAACATTATTTAAATATTTTAGAGTAGGGTATGAGGTATGATTTTGGCCCAAAAGGTTGTGAAGTGAACCTTGGCCTGTTACAACGTTCTAGAATACGTAATTAAGTGAGATTAAATGGACTATTTGCAAGCAAATATAATAGAAAAAATCATTAAAACATACGTAGAAATGTGTGATTTTCACTTTAATTTAAACAAAAATTCCGGGGGGAACCCTCGGACCCCCCTTTTTAATGGGGGTATTCCCCCCAGACTCCCTGGTAAGTCCGGCGCCACTGTCGCCCAGTGGAAATCCCTTAAAATATGCTCTGGTGTAAAAACAACAAAATTGTCCATAGGTACAGTGTTACAAGAATTTTTTTTTTTTTTTATTGTAGATGATATAGCCTCTGGATTGCCAAATACTATTTAAAAAGGTACCTACCTGCTACTAAGCAATCCATTAAATTGCAGTCGCAACTAGTTTTGACTGTAATTTAATCGATTGCTAAATAACAAGTAATTAAACATTTTTAACAAGAACTGGTAAATAATTATCCAACAGAATACTTAAACTCACTTGATTTTCCAACGATGCCACCACACATTTAAAATATATATATACCACTAACTCTTCTTAGAACTTGTACCACCACAATTTTGTGTAATGAAGCCAGACTTACAGTCAAGAAATTGGTGAAAGTTTTACTTGAGGCTTTAAGTTTGAATTTTAAATTTATGAGAGGTGTTCTCATAACAATTCTTATGGGTTCAAGCGGTAGCGGTTGCAGTTTCCGGTGCAACTTTCATTTGCAATACCCATCAACAAGGGCAAATGAGCAGCTATATGTGGCATCCCTCCATCCCTGCACTGTCTTTCTCTATGAACCAATAAATAAAAAAAATATCATTTATGAAAAAGTTCTTCAATAAATGCTTAAGGGGCAATGGGTTTAATTACCTCAACATTTTAACTTTGTGGTCATTTCAATCATCATACTCTTACAATACCACATTTCTACTATACAATTATGGCATATTTCTCCAAGTAGACAATAAAGATGAGTCTCCTTTAAAACGTTGCTGCAATTTTATTTTATTTCCCCAAATCTAATTGTATCTAACTTTTATTTTCATTAATGTTTACTACACTATCTTTACATTGATCTTCAGCAGATACCATTATGGAGGAGTTGGAATCTGACAAAACAGATATTTGAGAAAGTCTGACGTTTTCAGACTCCACATTACCATTGGATAGCTTCATTTGTAAATCGTTTATAGATAATTTCTCAGATTGTTCATGATCCAGTTGAAGCAGTTGGTTTTCATTAGATTCAAATCTTTCACCCTCTTCAGGAATATGTGATGTGGTTCTAGTCGAAGCTTCGTCCACTTCCAAGCAGTAAATATAGCTTTCCAGTATCCATAAACTGTAAGTAGTCATTACAAAAGCTGAAAAATATTATGCTTATTTTTAAATATATTTATGCTCTCATTGAACATTGATAGCCCAACCAACCATTTCCAATGATGCTACAAAATTGTCTATTTAAAATCAAATTAATAATAGGAACTCAAAATTGCACAATGTAAATGTTGACCCAAGAGGACCTTAGAAACATTTGGCTTGCAGTGTTAGTTTTAGTTCTTAAAAAAAAAAACAATTAAACTTGAGTTGCATACAATATTTATATGGCCCCATTTTTAAAGTTATAGGCCTACACTGAGCTAACTTTTTCTATGAATTTAAGTCAGCTCTGTATTAACCAATTACAGTACTGTATTTTCTTTGTATAAGTCTTCAGGACTACCTACTCCATAAAGCCTTAGCCGCGTTTACACAAGGCAAGTAAAGTAAGTAGAGCAGGCATGTTACTTGCTTCTGTGTATCTCAAGTTCACCTGAGACCGGTAACCTGCCCAGTGCCCGCCAACTGGCTTCGTCTAAACACATAGCTTGAGAATGGACAAGAGTGGATCAGGCTGAATCCTAGGGTCTTTAGTAGCTAGCTTAGTAAAGAAATAAGTAATAATCTAATTTAAATTAACAATACTGTGTAGGTTTTAAACTTACCAGAAATGGCAGAAAGTATTCCAAAATAAATCAACTGTTTCTCTTTTTCATAAACAGAAACATGTTTGTACCTAGAAAATATATGCATAGAAATAGGTTTATGTTAAGAAAATTAAATATTTTCAAAAGGAGGTTTATATCTTTGATGAAAGAAAAACTATTTAAAATTAGGCATCAGTTGCGATTCTATACAATTTTTATTTTGTGGATAGTTACTTACGTGTCTGCTTTCATGTAACTACTTCAGAAAGCGTTTAAACAAAAATGATTCATAAAGAAGTTTTTCCCCTCAGAGATATTAACTCTTGTATGTTGAAAGACAGAAATAGAAAATATGGGTAGCCTAATAATATTTTCATTCTGATAGTGGTCCAAAGCCATATAAACAACAAAAATAAATAGTCTTTATAGTTTCTTGTATGTATTAAATTTATTACATTTAAAATCACACCAAAGTGCAGTTAACGAAATCAACATTTTTAAAAGAAATATGTAAAAAAACTCATTTCTATTAAAGAAGTTTATATAATTGAATTTAGATTTTACTATAATCTATTTTGCTTAAGAGACATTAATCTTACTGCAGCTTAATATTCTTTTCCTACAGTTACCTAACAATGTACATGTTCTCTCACTGATTTGAGAAAGCAAAGTGGCCAATTCGCTCATCAGTGAGACAATGTTAACATTGTCTCACTCTAATTACTTTGTCTCACTCCAGATTTGCAACGTGAAGGCAGGCAACGACGCGCGCGAAATACGTTGGCAGCACTGGCTGTAAATCAGCTGGTCAGCTGTTGTACTGTTGTATTTGTCACTTCACATTAAATGTTATATTAAAAGTTCACTTCTGTGTAAAAATAGGTTATGTTTATTCACAAATTTATTTGTTTTATGGTAACTGTAGGAAAAGTATAATGTGCAACTCGAGTTCAAAGTACAATTGCCTCACTCGAGAAACCATTCCTCACTCGCCTACGGCTCGTGAGTAAGGATTTCTCTCGAGTGAGTCAATTGCTTACTTTTCTCATTAGTTGCACAAATAACTATTGGGAAAAATACTCACCTTGAAAGAGCATGAACTGATAATGCTAACAATATAATCACAACTAGAAGCCAGACCATGAGAACTTTGGTATGCACCAACATCACTGTCCGAGCATACCTGCTGGACTGAGAACAATAATCATTGATCAAGTAAAACAGAGGCGGGAAATGGGGTGTTACAATTTATTTTGGAAACCAAATTCCTGCTGTAAACACTAAAAGACCTGTTGAAAACAACAGAGTGTTAGAAAAAAATGTGTTCTTTGGATTGTTGTAAAATTTTGTTCAAAACATGTAAACTTTGGTGTAAATACAGTTTTTGTCCTTATACAGGTTTGAGGGTTGTAAAAGGAATTGACAATGAAATTTACAGCATCTGTTCTGTGTCCAGTGTGTGTTCAGCATCTGTGAGTAAGCTTATAAATAATCCAAAGAATACTAGTATTCCATTAATGTTATCAACAGCTTTTCAGTGAGTACAACAGAAATTTTGTTTGTAAAGCAATCACATGTTGATTGTTTTAATTGGTTGTACCTAATTGTTGCATAGGCATCTCATTTTTTACAAATTGAGCATTGATTCTAAGTGCATGCCTTCTTTTGAAGCCTAAAAATCTTTCTGCCATGGCAAGAATTTCCCCACACAAGAATTCTGTATGACATTAAAGATGAAAAATATGAGTGATAAACTGTTAATTGAGTTTTAGTGTCGGTGATTTGAGAAATTGTTCTGAGAGAACCTCCCCTTTTGTTACATAGCATCATTGATGAAATTAAATGAAAATCCTTCTTTATTGAGGCGAACTTAGGACCTCATGGTCCTTTCTTACAGCTAACCTCTAAAATTCATAGCACAAAGACAAATAGCATCTGGGTCCTGAATCAATCTTTCCATTTAAATATGAAGTAAATAATGAATTAAATACTCTAGAGATCCAACGAAGATGTCCGATGAGACAGTTTTCCATTTAACTTGCCATATAGTGTAACATCAAGGGTGGTGGATTCCCTTGTCCAGCATATTCTTAGTGCTTTTGAATCCAAAGAGAGTACAGTTGTATGCCTTTGTGATCTTTCCCGTGCTTTTGATTGTGTGCCTCATGACATACTTTTCTAGAAATTTAAAAAAAGTATGGTCTTGCTGATTCTGCCCTCAAGGTAGAAAATTCCTACCTATGACAGGCAACAGTTTATCTAAATGGATCCAAATCTGCCTTATTGCCTGTTAAGTATGGTGTGCCCCAGGGTTCCATATCGGGCCCCTTTCTGTACATTTTTTGCATGAATGACATATTTTTCAGACTTGACACGAAGGTGTTGTTGTACGATGATGATGCAACGCTGTTTGCTAGCCATGAAGACCCTGTGTTATAGCCATTGAAACTGTAGAGTCTAACTTTAAACTAGCCGCAGAGGTTGGTTTTCTAATAATAAGCTTGCTCTAAACAAAGATAAGAAACAGCCAATAGCTTTTTATCTAAGTAAAACCAGATTGAACACAAAGAGTAATACTGTTCCTGTAAAACTGCTTGGCTTTTCTCTTGACTCAGTCCTAAGCTGGAGTGACCACATAGACTGACTCGCTTTGTTCAAAGTTAGGTCGAATCATTTTCTTGTTGCGTGGACTTAAAAGTGATATGCATTTTGTTTTCCTTAAATATGCTTTCTTTGCTTTTTCCAATCTCACATAATTTGTGTTTTTCACTTATTAGAAGTAAATTTTAGATTTTCATAGTCCACAACTCTGTACATGTATATTTTGTTTGTATATTTGTTGTTCCTGTCCTGAGGGAAGAGTGGACCTTTGGTCTCACTCAGGGCAGGTTAAATAAAGAATTTGTCATTTGTCATTCGGTATGGTCCTAGGCTATGGGGTCATTCCAGCAGGACCCACAGTGTCTTCTGTTGCAAAAAAGCAGTAAGAATTGTATGTAATGCCCATCACCGAGCCCATTGCAAACCATTGTTCAAACTGTGTGTGGTGCAATGAATATTGTTAGTATTTACATTTTTCAGTGCTAGTAGCAATCAAAGATAATGAGAGTGTGTTTCTGACAAACAGCGACATCGACATCCATAAGTATAATCATTGACTATAGTCAAAGGTATAATATAAGGAATAGAAATAACTTTCCCATGAACAGATCTAGGTAAGTGTGGTTTTGAATTGTTATCCAGTTTCAGGTATGAAATTTGTCAATCGCCTCCCAATAGTTGTAAAAAAACTGTGTAAAACACTAAGTTTGTGAAAATTATAAAATCATGGCTTTTATCAAACCCTCTATATAGGATGGATGAGTTTTTTTTAAGCAGATCTCTCTAGCATGATCAAAGAAAAAGAAAAAGATAATACAACTAATGTATAGCTTGGTAAAATGCATGGTTTGCTGCTCTGCAGATGCTGTTTACTTTGACCTCTTATTTTATTTTGTATGCTTGCGTTTGTTTTTTATTATTTGATGTAGTTTGATTTGTGCATGTTAAATTTTAATGCTTGTTATGACTTAGCCTATATTGTACAATCATCTATATTTAATAGCTAAATAAAATGATTTATGATTTATCAACTAAGATATTCAAATGCTTACCGTGGAAGTTTGAAAAAGAAGGAGAAACAAAAACCATAAGCAATAGAGTCCTCCCGAAATGTAATAAGAGACAGCAGCTGAAAATATGAACTTTGGTGAGTATCAGTAGAGTCCCGCAAACTCGGCACTCGATAACCCGGCAGTCTCGATAACTCGGCCATCACCTGGCTCAGAAAATTAGTGATTTTTTGAGTCCGAGTTAAACATGGACTCAAGCCAGCTCAAGTCAAATCATTCTCAGCTCGTACAAATGATTTGTTTTACTATATCTGATGACTTAATACTAACTTGTAATATAAATATAAATTAAAGAAGTAGTTAATAAGATTAAAAATTGTATTGTTCTTGTTTTTAACCCTAGTTCCTGATAACCCGGCATTTCACAAACTCGGCACCCTTCCAGTCCACATTACGCCGAGTTTGCGGGACTCTACTGTATCTGTATGACACCAACCTGGCCTTTATTTCAAACATTTTTGGCGCAATGACCATAACCTACCTGGAGAAGGTGCTAAGACCCCACCGCTACATCGACCACATATCACTCTCAGAGCAGTTTTACCGGGTGTTTTATAAAAACTTGCTTCTTTATGTAAAAAATGCAATAGCCTAGATAGAAATATGCAGTTGCAAGAATCACCTTGACGTAGAGGCCACAACTATTCCGATTTCAACAAAAAGAAGGCATGAAAAAAGAAAAAGAATGGCGCAAACTAGAGGTCTATACGTCAATCCTATCAAAAGTTATGGTAGTTCAACATTTTAATTCCCCCCCCCCTTTTTGAGAAAAGGTAAGTTTTTTTTTAAACGGCTATAGCTAAAAAAACTATAAGAGCTAGCAAAAATTTGAAAGAATTTTCATGGTCAGGAATGAAATTTTCCACAAAACATACTTTTAGGCGTTTTCCAAAAATCGCACTCCTCCATCTTAAAAAACGCCCTTCTTCTAAATGTTTTACAATTTCTCTGATATTTGATGTGTTTTTAATTGAACAAGCATTTTTCAAAGGTGTCACTAGCTGGCACGCTTGTTCAATAAAAAAAAACACATAAAAATCCAAAAAATTTTAGAAGAAGGGCATTTTTTGATGGTGAAGGAGTGAGATTTTTGGAAAACGCCTAAAAGTATGTTTTGTAGAAAATTTCATTCCTGATCATGAAAATTCTTTCAAATCTTTGCTAGCTCTTACTGTTTTTTTTTTTAACTATAGCCGTTTAAAAAAAAAAACTTACACAAAAATTGTTTGCAAAGGGACTAGCTTTGCTTTGCTATTAGAGAAACATTATATTTTTGAACAAATCCATTGTAGCACAGGTATAGCAGCTAGTTAGTTTATAAAATAATTAATAAAATATAAAATACACAGCTTATAAATCTCCTGAAACTCACAAGCTAAAACCAAAGTTGGGTAGAAGTCATCATACAGCGTGGCACCCATTACAATATAAAAATCTCCTAATACCTGGAACATTTACATGGATCATTGTAAAATAAATTTTTCAAGTGCATAAAATAAAAATATGTGAATAAATGAATGTTATTACTTGAAGGTAATAAAATAATATGGTAAATTATGTAAGCTGTTAGCTTTTCCAGCAGGTAAACGAACAAGTAACAAGGTGCCTATAAAGTTCTGATTTATATTGTTAGCTGAACGTGTAGTCCAGTTAGAAGAGAAACTGGGTAAGGGTATTTTTTTCATGTAGCAATCAACTTCCTTCACCACTTCCTACGTCAGGGACTTGTTTCCCTCCCTTCCTATAGCATTTTAGGATTGCCCATACCCTTATCTAATCGTCATAAACAGTTCCCACACTCCGGACAGCTTGCCTTGACTACTTCCTTCGTCACGGACCTGTTTCCCTCAATTCCCATAGCATTTTAGGATTGCCCATACCCTTATCAAATCGGCATAAACAGTCCCCACACTCCGGACTACTCGCCTTTACTACTTCCTTCATCACTTCCTATGTCACGGACCTGTTTCCCTCTATTCCCATAGCATTTTATGATTGCCTTTACTACTTCCTTCACCACTTCCTACGTCGCAGACCTGTTTTTCTCCCTTCCCTTAGCATTTTAGGATTGGAGATACCTTAATCTAATCGTCATAAACAGATCCCAGACTTTGCACTGCTACCCTTGACTACAATGTATCGAGTAATCTTCAGTATAATCTTTGCTCAATATTAACAAGTGATGTTTTTTCTTTCGTACTGTATTTGTAATTTGCTAGTATACTGTGGGGAGTTAGCTTATTATGAACACATGCTACACAACTTCAAGTCTTTTGTTGAGCGGAGCGAGCGAAGCTCTTATACTTCGACTCTTATGCATTTCGTAATACGCAAACTCCTCCTAGACGGCTGAATCAATCGTTTTAAAATTTTGCTTGGTACTAAAGACCATATCGGTGAGTGCCAACATCTATATGGCGTTAAAAAAGTCACTCAGAAATCCGCCCCACTGGGTCTCAAAGTTTCAATGTAATCCTTATGGAAGCAGTATTTGACACATAAACAAAGACATATGATCAGCTGTTGACTTTTGAATGCAGTAGATAAAAATAGCTGATAGCATTATTCCACAGATTTTAGAACAGAAACAGTATGGATCATAAATATAATCAAATAACAACACTAGCTTGAGGTCCGTGCCGTAGGAAGTGGTGAAGGTAGTAAAGGTTATCAGTCTGGAGTGTGGAAACTGTTTATGACGATTAGATTAAGGTATCTGCATTCCTAAAATTCTATGGGAAGGGATGAAAACAGATCCGCGACGTAGGAAGTGGTGAAGGAAGTAGTCAAGGCGAGCTGTCCGGAGTGTGGAAACTGTTTATGATGATTAGATTAAGGTATCTACGATCCTGAAATGCTATGGAAATGGAATGAAATAGGTCCGTGACGTAGGAGGTAGTGATGGAAGTAGTAAAGGCGAGCAGTCCGGAGTGTGGGAACTATTTATGACGGGTAGATTAAGGGATCTGCAATCCTAAAATGCTATGGGAAGAGAGGAAAACAGGTCCAAGACGACGTAGGAAGTGGTGAAGGAAGTAGTAAATGCAAGCAGTCCGGACTGTGGGAACTGTTTGTGACGATTAGATTAAGGTGTCTGCAATCCTAAAATGCTATGGGAAGGGAGGAAAACAGGTCCGCGACGTAGGAAGTTTTGAAGGACGTAGTCAAGGCGAGCTGTCCGGAGTGTGGTAACTGTTTATGACGATTATATTAAGGTGTCTACAATCCTGAAATGGTATGGGAAGGGAGGAAAACAGGTCCGAGATGTAGGAAGTGGTGAAGGAAGTAGTCAAGGGGAGCTGTCCAGAGTATGGGAACTGTTTATGACGATTAGATTAAGGTATATGTAATCCTAAAATGCTATGGTAATGGAAAGAAACAGGTCCGTGACGTAGGAGGTAGTGAAGGAAGTTGTAAATGCGAGAAGTCCGGAGTATGGGAACTTTTTATAACGATTCGAATAAGGTATCTGCAATCCTAAAATGCTATGGGAAGAGAGGGAAACAGGTCCGTGACGTAGGAAGTGGTGAAGGAAGTAGTAAAGGCGAGCAGGGTGGAATGAAGTTATATGGCAAATTTTTTTTTTCATCAGAAAACTTTCTAATAGCATTTAAAAGTTGCACCTTAATGTAACAAATAACACAACAAAATTTCATTGTTTTATGTTTATGTCTTGAGGTGCCGCAAAAGCCTTGAAAATTTGAATTTTTTTTAAATATTCTGTTATTTTCATCAAATTCAAGAATTATTTTTTGTCACCAATTTCATGTTAATATATTTTTAAGTTGAAGACAAATTAGTTATTATAAATAAAAAAATATTAAAAGTAAGCTTAGTAGGTGCTATACTTGTAAAATTTATTTCCAAAAAGTCAAATAAAAGAGAATTTAAAGCGAATTTCCAAATAAAACTGTTCAGTTATAACACCTCTATTAATTTGGTATATTGCCTTATTATTATTTCTATGTACAATATTTTGATCACTAATAGCTTTTATGTATAATAAAATTAAAAACCATGATCTAAGAAGAGTAATTAAAACATAAATATACAAAAATATAGGTTCAGTTGTTCTTTCGGAAAGAAAATTGAGGTATGGCGTAGGATTCCCAAGAGAATAGAACAATATGTTGTTTAAAATCTAGTATATTCTATGTAAAGATACATAAAAGTAACTTCATGTCAGTTTAGATAGTCCTTATGTTTTTTGAAAATTAAACAAAATGTTTTTTTGTCTCAAATTTTGGCATTATCTTGTGTGATTCAATCCTGGCTTTGACAAATCCATTTCTTGCTTCATCACCACACACACTAAGTGCAGACTCCGTTACAAGCTTTATTACTCTTTCAACTGCTTGAGTGTGGCAGGGGAAACGAGGAAAATCTACTGATTGATTTTGGAAACCATCTTTTCTTGAATTGTCAATGAATTTTTTCAATGCTTCATCTGTTATGTGTTTTGTCATCGGTGGCTCCGTTATGGTTATATCTACCCAATTAATCAAATCAATAAAATCTTCTGCCTGGAAATTGATGTTTGGGACCACAAACTTCCTTACTGCATTTCTGTTTTCAGATCTTGCCTTTAAAAGCCTCCGAAGACCTAGCTCTCTCACGTGCTTTCGTTCATCACTTAACATGCAGATCAGCAGGTTTTCAGGATGAGCGTAATAACCATTTCTTTGAATTACTGGATCAATTACTTTTAGATGATCATCGTTAAGGTAGCGTGACAATTTAATCAGGTGCCATAAATGTTTTGAGCCATTTACACATGAAGGTTTCAGTTTGATATGAAACCAGACTGGGGCATAGACCTTAACAACATATTCGGTCAAGGATTTCAGATTGTCAGATGGATTCTCCGTTCCAACGTATAATCGTAGTATTCGACTTGCTAATGTTAGCCATCGTGAATGCGCCAACTTTCCTGGTTTTCTTAATAGAAGGTCTTGTGAACATTCACCGCTAGAAATTGCGTGACACATGTCAAACAAATACTTTTGGTCTGTACTTAAATCTTTGTTTGATTACAAGATCCGGGAGATTGTGCTGTATAGGAGAAAATCTAACAACTGGAAGGTCATAACATTTTTCTAGCTGCTTTCCTATAACACCTCCAAATTCATTAGGGCCTGTTGTTTTCCCATCTAATGCACAAAACAAATGGCGCAAAGGCAATTCATTGCCATGGAACAAGCAAATCAGCCACTGCAGTGGCTTATTTAGAGATTTTTCCATCAAAGCAAGTACACCATTGTTTACTCCTGTATTAGTGGCTGTTCCATCACATCCCATTGCAGTTAAGTTAGATATATTTAAACTACTGTTGCTATTAAAATACTCTGTGATGCTATCTTTAATAGCTTCGCCTGTTCCAGAAGAAGGTGTGACATGTCCTAGATAAGATGAACCAGGTTCTTCTACTAAAGCAATATGCTCTTCAACTATAGTTTTCTTATAAAATTTGTTTCCCTTCTTTTCTTGCATAATTGTTTTATCTTTTCTTCCATCAAAAAATAATCCCTTGTTTTCTTTAACTTGGTTAAAACTACTCACAGTTACTTTTTTTCGGTTCTTGGCCCTTGCTCTTTGAATTTTCATTCTATCAATTACTTTACTTTTATCGGCGTTTGTAATCATCCCAACATCTTTTAGAACTGCACTGGCAATAGCAGCAGCAACTCTGTCTGATACTCCTGTCCTGTCACAGATTGACGCAACTGTTGGTAATTCCACACGCATTTGCTCGCTTATAGGTGAAACCCGAGTGGAAGTGGAGGGTAGATCTTCTGTGTTATTAGTAGATGCTAAGTCTTCATCCCAACTTTGATCGGTATCAGAATCATTACTAATATTTACAGTTTCACTACTAATGCCTGCTGATTGTTCACAATGCTTCAACTGTTGCTGCATTGTTCTATGCTTTCGTTCTTCCCTTCGATTTAAAACATTTGAGATAGCTTTGTCTATGTTACTTATAGTCATTTTTCTTGTTGTTCTTTGGTCGGTTAAAAACTCTTGCTCTACTTTAGGTACTTTTTTTTCTTTAGGGCATTTACAATCTGAAAAAGCCTTGCATTTACATGCAGCGACATCAAAAAGGCGTTTACTTTCATTTAAAAAAGAAGTCACAGTGGAATCGTAGCTCTCTGTACCCTTTCTACCCTTCGATCTTAATAGATTTCTATATTTATCATGATAAGATTTCCCCATTTGTATCATACGGGTTTTTGAAACTACGGGTATTGACGCCTTACACCAAATATTTATGACTTTCTCCATAACAATATCTAGTATTTCACTCACCGTTGGTTCCTTTGACATTACTTCTGGCTTTAGTTCATTTCTTATAAACAAGTAATACTTCATAATGTCACAATACGTTGGTAAACATAACTCACTCAACTGTTTAGAATGGCCAAATATCTGACATTCCAACTGA